AAAAAGAGAGAGTTGGGTTAGAATCTCAACTCTGCCATATACAAGGTGTATGACCCCCAGTAACATACTTTCTAGAACCTCGGGTTCTGCATCTGTAAAATGGGAACATTCTCAATAGGAAAATGTGGACTAGTCCACACACAAAGGTCCGACAAATGGCATACATTATTAGCACTTGCATGTTAGCACGTGAGCATCTCCCATGTGGGAGAGCCCGGGTGTGTGTTAACAGAGCTGGCGTAGGTTCACATGGGGGTCAGGCCCTGTCAGACAGAAGTCCCTTCTTCCCGTCAGACCTCCCTGACATCCGCACTTCATTCCTCATCTGTCTCATCTTTCTTCCCAGAGTTTTCTGCCTCCCTCTTTCCATCTCTCCTTCTTCTTTCTCCTGGAGTCCAGCTGCCTCCTCAGTGGCCCTCAGAAGCCCTGCCTTGTCAGGCAATCCTTCTTACCCAGTGTCAACATCACCAATGCTCCTGGGACGCTTCGAGGGGAAAAGCCTCTTGTTTCAACCAACCCAGCCTCTGCATTTATCTCAGCCCCATCTCCCCGGGACCAGCCTTCAGTCTCCCCTGCTCCACAAAAATATCTTGTTATCTCTTAAATTTGCATTTGCTAATTTCGTCTGCCTTAGCTGCTTCCATCAGCAATCTCTCCGTCTGAGACTTCCACTCCTACCTGGATGAGTTTCAGTCTGACACAAAAGGTACCGACTCTCCAGAGTCTTAGGTTTTCAGCAGTGTGTTCTCTTCTATTCCTGAAAGCCAACCTTTTCCAGGACCTGACTACACTGGCTGGGCTGTCTGCTGGCTGTCTGCTGGCTGGGCTGGTGGGTTTTTACCCCCTTCCTGTGCTGTCTGGCCCTCTCATTCCTTCTCAAGGCCAGTTCAAGAACTAACAGAATCAGGGGGTTGCTTGAAAAATGGAGAAAAGCCCAGAGGCCTCCAGTAAAGCAGCTACTTTCTCAGTGCAAGAAATCAGACCAGGTGTGCTCTTCATCATCATAATCATTTAAATGTATTTATTAAGCTTTTTGGGGCGCCTGGGTGGCTCAGTCGGTTGAGCGTCCGACTTCGGCTCAGGGCATGACCTCTTGGTTTGTGAGTTTGAGCCCCGCACCAGGTTCCGTGCTGATAGCTCAGAGCCTGGAGCCTGCTTTGGATTCTGTGCCCCTCCCCCACTCATGCTCTGTCTCTCTGTCAAAAATAAATAAACATTAAAAAAATGTATTTATTGGGGCGCCTGGGTGGTGCAGTCGGTTGAGCGTCCGACTTCAGCCAGGTCACGATCTCGCGGTCCGTGAGTTCGAGCCCCGCGTCGGGCTCTGGGCTGATGGCTCAGAGCCTGGAGCCTGTTTCCGATTCTGTGTCTCCCTCTCTCTCTCTGCCCCTTCCCCGTTCATGCTCTGTCTCTCTCTGTCCCAAAAATAAATAAACGTTGAAAAAAAATGTATTTATTAAGCTTTATACAGACTTCAATCACCCAATATATAAAATACTCTTTGGAAGCAAAGACCTAAATGAAAAGGACCAACACCTTTATATTTTCTTAGGGATTGGTCTGCTTTACTGGAGAAGCTTACTTTCCTTTATGCACTTACCTGTGAGAAATTCTTTTTCTTAATGTTTATTTCTTTTTGGCGCGGGGTGGGGGAGGGGCAGAGAGATTGGGAGACAGAGAAGCTGAAGCAGGCTCCACCGTGCCAGACCAGAGCCGGTTGCGGGGCTCAAACTCATGAACCCATAAGATCGTGACCTGAACCGAAGTTGGACACCTAACCAACTGAGCCACCCAGGTGCCCCTACCTGTGAGAAATTCTTAGAAGCCACCCCGTCTGCTGCGAAGCTTTGAAGAAAAACGCCCCCAGTTGAGAACCACTGTTCCCCTCACACACACACCTCTCCCTGACACACCTATTGGTCCAAGACCAGAAGTGCAAATGTCCTGCAGGGAAGAGAGGGTTCTAGAAGCCACTGCCTTTGCTTGTTGGTACCCAAGATGCTAAACAAGCAGTTCCTGGTAGGAGCAGGACATGGGGAATTCCTGCCTGCCAGCGAGGCTGGCCTCTCCAAAGCCACAGAATTCCAGTTTACAAGTGTCAGGGAGGTCGAGGCCTGCTGATGGGATGGGGACCGAGCAAAGCACAAGGGCTGGATGTGCAGGTGTGACCACAGGGCACACGTCACCTCGCTGAGGGTGGCCTCCCTGCTTGTGGGAGGCCACCAACAAAAGATGGGGAGGCTGTGTTAGAAAACAAGCTTCTCCGTGAACGGATTCACCAGGGCTAACACACGCAGTTCTTCTGGCCACGTTCAGGATGAACGCCCCTGCCCTCAGCCCCATGGGCCACCGCAGCACAGCCCTGGGCCATCTTCCCTGCCTGCTCTCTCAGGGCTGGAAAGGCTCAGTGTGGTCCCACGACTGGCAGGTGCAAATCTCATCAGTCACCGTTCAGCAAGTATTCATGGAGCCCACTCTTTAGGTCCTTGCTACATAAAGGGCGGCCCACAGCCCAGCTGGGAGCTTGGGAGAAATGAAGACTCTCAGGCCCTCAGATTCCTTCCAAATCTCAGCGTGCCCTTTAGCAACGCTGCAGGTAACACGTGTGGTCACTTAAGGCTGCGAAGGCCTTTGTTAAGTAACATGGAAGGGGAGATTTTTTCCTCCAGAAGTTCACACTCTGGGAAGATAGGATTTATAGATAGGAAACAATGCAGCAGAGTGCAAGTCAACATCATCAAGCGTGATTTGGTGGACATAAAACATCAAGTCCTGCCTCAGCCACTTGCTGTCACCAAGCCTCAGCTTCCTCGCCCGTTAAGTGGCAATAATACTTGCCCCGTCTACCTTACAGATTGTCCCAGGTGGGAAAGTGCTACACCCACATAAGGTACTATTTAATGTTCCATTCTTAGAGTGCTACACAAGTTCAGAGATGAGAGCGCTAAAGATGTCGGGAACAGTCTGGGAAGATCTGGCAAAGAGGAAGGGGGCCTTTAACACTGAACCACATACTGAACTAGACACTACAGTAACGCAAGATGGAAAAATGCACGTTGTGACAAGTGCACCTAACAGAGCCTCTAGCCGGAGCCACAGAGAGCTCCCACTGACCAACTTTCACCAGCTTTCATCCTCACAGTTGACTGACGGTCAACTCCGTGGCTCTCAGAAGCACAAAGTCAGGGCCACCCAGTGCTTTGCAAAAGACACAAAGCTAGATGTCTCTGTGGGGATGCTGGCAAGAGCCCTATTGCTGCAAATCTTAACCCTGGTTGGGAGTCTATGAAAATGGATTCGTCATTTTGCAGAGCTGTGAAGATGGCTGGATAGTGTGAGAGGACGGCCTGGGTAGGGGGAGGTAAAGGAAATTAGCAGGTGAGTGCTTGGGTAATAGTTTTCCTAGGTAATGCTTATTAAGACTTTGCTATATTGTAGATGTTTTCTTTTCTTTCTGTTTTTTTAAAAAAATATTTATTTATTTATTTTGAGAGCGTGTAAGCGCACAAGTGGGGTAGGGGCAGAGAGAGGACAGAGAGAATCCCAAGCAGGCTCCACACTGTCGGTACAGAGCCCAACTCAGGGCTCGGTCTCACACACTGTGAAATCATGACCTGAGCCAAAATCAAGAGTCGGATGCCCAACCCAATGAGACACCCAGGTGCCCTTCTTCTACTTTTTTAAATTTCATCTTCACAACAATCCTATCAGGCAGGGGAATCTTTTGCCCCCATCTTACAGATGAGGAAAGCTTTCCCAGCTTTCCAAAGCCCATGACCTTAACTGCAAGCTAAACCACTAGGGCAGTGTGAGAATCTCTGGTCTTCCTCCTGCAGTTGAAACAATGTGGCTTTGCTTTTGTTGTGAAACCTGGCTCGCTCTGAGTTGCTGACGTTTGCCATGCTTGTCCTGAGCTTCTCCAGAGAAATGCTGTCTTCTGGCAGGAAAAGATAAAAACGGCTGATACAAATGAGTCACCATACTCGCTATAATTAACAGTGATGCAAGAGCCAGATGCAAACGTAGAGGGGCCTCAGGACCTGACTTTTAGACGGCCCAAGCTTTGAGCTGCTGAAAAGTCTTCATGGCTGAGCTGCTGTCTGCTCAAGATACATTTTAAATGAAGAAATGAAACCTGGATGCATGCAAACTCCAAGCTAATGGAGCTGAGAGGGGCAGCGCCAAATTAATCTCCTTATTTACAACTGAAAAACCGTACACTAGAACCAGAAAGGGAGTTTATAGATAATGTATAATGTATAATGTGCTTTTACACTTGGCTGCCCTGGAAAGTCTAAGCAGTTTTCAACCTGCTGAGCTAATTTATGGCAACTACAGCTGGAAACTCCGTTGTGCTAGGTGTCCAACCTATAGCCTCCTGGTTGCAGTATATACCAGAAAGTCCTGGAAAATTCTTGAAAGTGAACTTTCCAGAAGAGGCCAGTTATCAGTAGCATCCCTCTTCTCTTTTGCTGACTTGGAATAAAAAGTGGTATAATAATAGCCTGATTAAAATAAACCCTCAAACACACTTCCGACCATGCCATCCACAAACCTATCTGACTGCAGCTTGAGCATGATCACTTTATGGTGCTGGCTGCTTCCAGAATGGATAATTGCCTCCTGAGGTTTGACAGAGAGAAACGGATAATAGTCAGGACCAGGATAGACTACACTAGTGCTCGTGATTGTCCATGTCAGTAGCATCTTCTTACCTGTTTAAGACCGTCTCAACTGTCCTTAAGATTTGAACACAATACAGCCGATACAATCTTGCCACTTTCCTTTCGAATAGACTTTAATTAATTGAGAGCGAAGTGAAAAATGCAGGTTACATTTTTAGTGTTATCATTGATACGTTGTAAGATCAACACCAAAACAGTGATGCATCTAACATTTATACATTTCCTAACTTCAGTTGTCAAAGAGCAAATCATTATCAGTATTTTTATTTACACAATAAGTTCAAGCAACAGTAAATAACAAACACCCTCGTTTGCACACACACACACGCACACATACACACACCCAACCACCTTTAAACAATGGATTTCCTCACACCAGTCTCATTTTTTTCACATACACTGGTAGACTCAAAGTTATCAGTGGAGATCCTGGACCAGCCCTATTTTCTTTCAGAGTCCCTTTAATTTTTACAACTTGAAGCCACATAACCAGCGTGGTCGGTACACTCAAAGGACACCCCAAATGATAATAATGAATTCCACTTTTTTTGTGTGAGGAAATATGTACATCTCTGAAGATGCGTAGGATTACCGCTCAAAAAAGTCAAAAATAAACAAAACCAAAATCTCAGATCTTCAAGCACAGTCTCTTAACAGCATTGTGCTAATGTTAACATTGTATTAACTGAATGGAAAAATTCTTTTAGGTTTCTCTACAGAGGTACTGGTTAGTTCGGATTCTTTTTTTCAGCTGCTTGAAACACACGAAATTTTTAAAGTTGCATGGTAGTCCTACATCCTGCCTTCCAGGTTAGTGGCCTGCCTAACCTCCGGAATGTCGGACGGGACTCACCCCCAGTGCCTTGCTCTCTGATTTATTTCTTGCTGTTAGTAAATGGAAACCATGACAAAGTTTACATTAGCAGACACATACACATGCCCTGGCCTATAAATATTCTATGATGGAAAATGGTACAATGACTCCATTCCTAGTGAAAAGAGCGTAAAAGGAGAAGAAGAGGGCGGGGGGACATTATCAACAATGGCTCTTCTTACAGTGAAAATCCAGACCAAATGGCAGAGATGGGCTTTTAACTAACTGGACATTGTTAGCCACTTCTCCAGGGCCTTCGAGCTGACTAAAAGCAGGCAAAGCAGAGCCCAACTCCTCCGGGCAAACCTGGTAGGATCCAGTGGTACAGGCATCTTGTCTTGGAAGCTGGATGAAGATCACCTGCCATTTCCTTCTTAGAGAGGTGAGTGTGGAGGAACTTTAAAGTCAGATTGGAAAGCAGTTCACACACTGTCCTGCCTGGGCCACAGAACTGTCCCCGGGTCGGACCTCTCAAAGCGCCAGCTGGAGTTTGGTCATGTTTCTCTGGTGCATGTTGTGATGGCGGACTAGTTCGTCTGACCGGGCAAACTTTTTCTGACAACTGGGCCACCGACAGCTGAAGGGCTTTTCACCTGTTGACACAATTGCCAGTCAGAGACACTTGCAGCGGAGAGACTGGGCACAAGTTCAACTATCAAAGTCCCGAGTTAAATTATCCCAAGACACCCACTCCCGATTCCCTCTAGCTCTTTCCCTAGGCTAACAAATCGGGCTCATTTCATAGGCAGCCTTGAAACGGCAGCACCTCTGGGCCCTTAAGGATTAAAAAACTGTAAAAATTATAAAATATTATTCAGTCAGAAGACTGGGGAAATGGCAGAGAAGGAATGAGTCTTGTTAATGAAAGTGTCTGGGCAATTCATATGTCATCAAGGGGGAGAAACATTTGTTTCGGCCTCTGCTATTAGGCCATTTTGGGAATTGTGTAAATGCTTCCCCTCCACTGCCTCTTCAGGGAATTGAGCTCATCTGGGCTGCAGGGGCTCAGGATCATTACTCTGGATACTAACGGATCGATTGCCATCCAATAACAGAGCTATGACTGTAACTTTACTGTGTCTGTCTGTGTAGATATTCTGAATGGGCTGGATATTTTAAAATAAATCCCTGACACCAGTTTACAGGATATTTGCTTCTTTAACATTAAAGTGTTACTCAGAGTATAATCCCTATCATAGTTTTAAGATTCTTAACAAGATTGCCAAAAGATTGAAACTTTTCCATCTAAGGAGCTCTCAGAAGTTCCTTCCAAGCTTCATTCTGGATAGGGAGGATAATGAGGGCCTTAAATTAAATATGCCCAGCCTTGTGCTAGGCATCATCTATATACATTATTTCATGTATTCCTTGCAACAGCCCTGTAACAGAAGCATCAGTATCCCCACTCTAGATATGAAGCTGGACATCTGGTGAGGGCAGACCCAAGCAGGACTTAAATCCAGGTCTGTCTATTCCAAGGTTCATGCACTTTGCAGTATCCCACCTCCCAGACCTGGCCATAATGGAAATAGAGCTGTGGCTTTATCCTAAGTAAAAATACTACAGGAGCCTATCTCTGGTCCACTAGGGAGATCCTTCCAGTTTGCCTCTCCTATGAGAACTATTGTTTGGGACAAGCACCAAGAAATGTCCCAGGGGAGGCACTGTCCCAGCGTCAGGACTGGGGGCTGATCAAATACAGGGTGAAACAGTCTGCCAGAGACACAGGTCATTTTGCACACATGCAGATATGCACAGGGTTCAGTGGATGGAATGGGGAAGTGGGGCAGAAGGGGCAGGGTACAAGGGACGATAAGTTTCTCACCAAATTATGAGCTTGGGACTAAAAGAAGCAATACCAAAGGCACCTGAGTAGGGCAAAAATTATGCCCATCCCACCAACTCGGGGCACAGATGCCTTGACTCTGTAAATGCAGCCTATTTGGGCTGAGAATCTGGGACTCATGATCTCACGTTTTCCTTCGCCTCCCACTCACTGTTCCTCTGCTCTTCCTGCTCTAGCTCCTGCCCCTCCACCCGACCTCCAGCCAGGCTGTCAACGGTTATCTCCTAATAGACACATCCCAACCCTTTCTCTTGTTGGTCAGTTACGCTCCTCAGTCTCTCAATGCAATTCAGCTTTGCTGACATTGACTCTCTTCCTGATTTCTATATTCCCTGGGCTGTGAGATGAACCCATGCTCTTTCTCCAACAAAGAAGGCTGTGGGATATTGTGGGACTGGGAGCAGACAGAATTGGGTTTGCTACTTACTAGCTTTGGGACTGTAAACAAGTCATTTCATGACTATGTGCCTCAGTCTCCTGATCTGGAAAATGGGGATAAAACATGCCTACCCTCCTCTTCTTACAAGGGTGTTGCAAAAATACAGTGAGATAACCCTAAGCCTTGGCCCTCCTCCCAAAGTTAGAAAAAGTTAGAAAATACATAACAAAGATGGAGCTATTTTCATTATGAATCACACCAGTCTTGTGGAAAAGCAAAAACTTTCAGCAGCCAGGGAATAAATGTCTATACCAGTAGAAAGGAAATAGTAGCCATATGCTGATACAAGTCTGGCAGAAACCATGACTGCTCCTGGGACATTAACTTTTAGCACAGCAAGGATTCAGGTCTCTGAAAATTGTGTCATGAAATGTGAGCTCTCCAAAGAATAAATATCTGGCTTGGAAGAATTTCTGCTGTTTTTCTGTAAAGTTGATTATCCTATCAAACTGAGTAATGCAATGTGATGTGACAGAAAACTGGGCTACTTCAACTCTTCCTTTTGTTCTGGACGCTCAGTAATAAGTTCTTTTCACATCTCCCTTTTGCTAGTAGTTCCCACCCCACCTCTTCTGAAACAATGTTATTATTTAAAGACAGCCATGCATTGTTCTTCCTCTCAACTGAGTCTAAACCTGCTCAGAACTTCTCCACTAGACTTTTCCAATCTCTCTCTCATCACAAACAACTTCATTTAACAGTATTTAAAAAAAAAAAATAATTAAAAATAAATGTGAAGAAAAGTTTACGCACTTGTTTTACCTGTATGAGTCCTGGTGTGGGTCTTCAGGTGGTCAGACCGGGAGAACTTTCGCTGACAAGTTTTACACTGGAATGGTTTCACACCTAAACGGACAGAGAAGGTCTAGCCGCAGCCCTAACAATGTGGGAGCATAATGAGGCCCACAAGGCCTGCTTCCTGGTGGCCCAAAGAGCCGGGCATTTCCAGCCACCTGTGGTGTCTGTCTCACCCTCAGATTTCCCCAGGTCCCCAGGCCTAGCATGAAACCACCTGATTCTGCAACAGTAATCCTTGAAGACCTGCTTGTGTTTTGGGAACAACTAGTCCTTAACCACAAACGTCCAGCTTCTCACCAACATCCCAGCTGTGTCCGAGACTGAAAAAGTGAATCACACACTATAAATTGGATTATGCTCTCCACCACCCTGCTCTTTACTGCTGCTCAACGTGTCATCAGCAGATGGCTGGTGGGATCCCATTGTCCCGCGGTTTGCTGGAGAAATGTGGGATGTTTCCTTTTCTTTCTTTCTTTTTTTTTTTTTAAGAACAGGAAAATCCCCAGATATTTGAGGGGGAGGGAATTATTGGAAAAACTAAACAAATGGCTAACGCTCTCCCATCCATATTCAACAACAAAGAGAATCACAAAAGCAGCTGCAACCCAGAACATACTACCAGCAAGGAGAAGTGAGCCTACAAACCTGTGTGTCTCCTTTGGTGTCTTTTGAGCTGGTCTGAACGAGAAAACCTTCGCTCACAGTCCTTGAAGTCACATTGGTATGGTTTCTCACCTTGGGGAAGACACACATTGCATTTGAAAATGACACTGGAGATGGGATGTCATTAAAGGCTACTTCTCCTCAGGGGACTGAAGGGATCCCAAAATGCCTAAGGCACTTGATGGACCTTGCTAGGGTGGTGAGGCCAACGGCAATGTGAAGCTAAAGGCCCACCTGTACTAAGCTGGGTGTAGAATGGGGAACTGGTTGATTGAGGATGGTCCCTAACCTGCAAGTTACAAGTGGACAGGAGCTCAGGTTCTGAAGTCTGACACTAGGGTCACATCCAGCTCTGACACTTAAAGCTCTGGGTGAGGGGCTATTTCCTTATTGAGAAATGGGGCTGATAATCTGACAGCTTCAAAGGATTTATGAGCAGATTAAACAAGACCATCCACATAAAGAGCTTAGCCCAGAGCACTGCTAAAAAAAAAATAAATAAAAATAAAAATTAAATTAAATACTGGTAGAGAATCTTTAGATCAATAATAAACCAAAAAAGTGTTAACTCCTAAACTGAGTTGGAGGCAGAATTCTGGAATGGATATGCCTTGGAGCTGGCCTCATGAAATAAGTATTTTATGTTTTATGGCCTAAAGATTTGGTGCTCTCCATTACTGACTTCTCATTCCTGAGTCAAGCACAAAAAGCCCCATGGTTGTGAGACACCCAAGTTAAACCAGGAGCCAAAGTATTTAGAAAGATTCTGGTATCCCTTTATCCGAGAGACATCAGTAGTGGGATTACACAACCTTCTGCCTCAGAATGCAGAAGCCCCACCCCTGTCCTTGCTAGAGAAAGTTCAGCCAAATACTGGGAACTAAGCCCCATGAGTGCACTGAGCGACCTTGGGCCTTCCCACCTTCTTATGAGAATTCTGAGTCACCAGTGTTCTGGGATGGAGAGCAAGCTATCCCAGGACCAGTCAGTCTTTCTGTTGCAGGGCAGTCCTTAGTTGCCTTTCAGGCCTCATAACTTCCTCTATTCCCCCTGATTAGTCTGCATTCCTGCTATCCCAAAGCTCACCCTTCCCCAAATCTGCCTTGCACTTTGCTGACCCCAACCGCCATTTGTCCCTATCTCCATCCACGTTCCCACCCATCAAAAAGTCTGCCGTACATCCCTCTCTAATGCCCCTTGTTTCCTCTTCAATGCCTTCTTGGAAATTTCATGTTCAGATTGAAAGCCCTTCCTTCTCTCAGTACAGAACTGATCATAGAACACCTAATGTGGGAGGCTGCATCCAGGGCTGCCTTTCACCGTGGGCTGGAAAATCCTGAGGGCAGGAGCCTCCCGTTAACTTTGTATTTACATCTGGCCTGGTGCCTTATACTTCAGCAACACTACTCAGTCTAATATCTTTTCCCTGCCTTTCTGCTTCTGCTCCTTCTTGACTTCCTCTACCGTACCCTACCAACCCTCTGATGGTTAGCTTAAGCCCTTCCTCCTTCTGGGATGACTTTAGCTCAAATCAGCAACTCTCCTCAAGTTCCTCCAGCCTCTGTTCTAGTACATTATCCTATGCTCTCTTCATCTCTTTTCATTGGTGTATAGCCTAGCTCCAAAACAGACTCTAAACTTTTGAGAAGGGAGTTTGTGAGTTGGGAGTTAAAAGGCATGAGTTTGGGTCCTGCTTCCACTATATCCTACCCACCTGATAACTGTTCAGGTGAGTGAGGATTAAATGAAATAATGCATGTGGAGAGTCTGGCACATAAAAAGTATTTAATACAGAAGTACTTAACATTATTACATATGGATAAGATTGCATTCTCTCAAGAAAAGGGCTGCAGGACTGTTAAATACCAAGCTACTGTCCTGTCTTCTGCAAAGAAGAGCTTCTTAGAGCCTCAGGTGGGTCTGAGGGTCTTGGTTAGCTTGTCCACTGCTTTCCCTTCACACAGACATCTCCCCTTTACTGCTTGCTAAGTGTCTCTTCCCCATTAAAGGTTTCAACAACCATATTGCCTTCAATGCATTCTCTTGCATTTCTCCAGTCACCATTTCACTCTATCATTTTCCTTATAACTTTAACAGATACTTCTCAAATGATCATATTGGGGGAAACATGTAAAAATATAACATCCCTAGTTCTCTCACCTTTAGCCCCAAAGCATGTGGTCTACTGAGTGCGAACTCACTCTCTTCTTCAGCTTCCCCAAAGCAAAATAAGCAGTAATAACAAAACAGTAAGGGTAGTTGTAACAATGAAGCTGTCCTTCCAGTTATGGGGAAAAAATGACACCAACCCCCCTGCAGGAAAGGCTGTGTTCCTTCCACACTCTTTCCCTGCAGCCGACACCCAACCACACTCCCGTCCAGTGCCCACAAGGCCAACAGCAAACATCTGTGATCAATAATAAAATCACATCCAAGATGGCCAAGAACAGACGAGGCCACTTCTCTTCCCTAGAGGGAGGCAAATCCCTTGACCTGTGGGAAAACCCAGCCTTCTTTGACACATCATCAAAAATCATGTTTGTTTGTTTTTTTAAGATTGAAAACAAAAATTAACCCTACAAATCCATCTTCCTATTCCTATCTGGTTGGTTATTACTAATCAAGCAGTTAAAAGTTTGTCTTTAGACCATCTCTCCTTAAGTCTTATGATGACCTTGCCCATCAATCCCTCAAACTGTCTTATTACCAAACTCCCAGAATAGGTCCTCTCTCTTTAGAGAGCCTAATAGAGACCCTCTCTCTTTAACAAAACAATAGTGACACTATTGTTTATTCAGGCCATTGACATAGCGTACTATACTACGTGCTTCATATCTAATGCCTTTAATCCAATTTTTTTTCAAAGATAATCTAGTTTGGGGGCACCTGGGTAGCTCAGTTGGTTAAGCATCTGACTTCAGCTCAGGTCATGATCTCTTGGTTTGTGAGTCTGAGCCCCGCATTGGGCTCTGTGCTGACAGCAAAGAGCCTGGAGCCTGCTTCAGATTCTGTGTCTCCCTCTCTCTCTGACCCTCCCCCGCTCACACTCGTCTCTCCTTCTCTCAAAAATAAATAAACATTACAAAAATTTTTTTAAAGTCAACCTAGTCTTAAAAATTATATAAGGTAGGCATTGTCATTTCCATCTTCCACAAGGCAAAATGAGGACCAAATGCTCAATGTCTCACCATTTGGTCATGTAGCCTGAATTCAAAGACAAGTAAGTCTCTTTAGTTCAGTGGAATTCTCTGTCCATCACTCTGCTCAGCCCTTCCTGAAGGCAGTTTACTGACTTTTTTATTAAAGGATGGACAGTCAGGATGCAAAATGCCCCTGCAACCTTTTTTTTAATCACTTTGGCCAGACCTTTCAAAGCACTGCCTACTGTCAATCCAAGAAATCTCCTGTGTCCTTAGAGGTGTGACAGCCAGGAGGAGGAGCTCCTGAACCACCCTTGCCCAAAGGCCACCGGAAACAAGGCTGGACAGCGGACACACTTACCAGTGTGCTTCCGGCTGTGCATCTGTAAGTGTGACAGCTTAAAATATCTCTTATTGCAGCCCGGGTAAGCACACATGAAGGGGCGTTTCTCACTGGTCTCTGATGCCGACCGGACAAGAGTCGGGGCAACTCCGGGCACACGTCGCACATCCTGTAGGCAGAGTGTAAGAGAAATGGAGGCTTTAAGCCACATGTGAACATTCGTGTCAGTCCTGAGGGAAAGTGAGCTTTAGATTAAACCTTAGGAAGGGATGGCAGATATTAAAACCTAAAACCACTCCCATGCATACCCCAGATACCCACAGCAAGCATCACTAATGGGTGACAGAGCAGGACATTCTACAATGCAATACTTCAACGTCATCACTATTGATCAACCAGAATCAGTACTTCATCTGTCTGTTTGGGGACGCTGATCCAGAGGATCTGGCAAAGAAATGCTGGTGCTACAAGAGCTCCCAATCCATCCCATCCCTCAGCTTCTCCACTTGAGGCAGTGAGGTCTGGAAGTCCAAAGTCCCAGGTTCTATTCTACTTCCTCCCATTTGGACACATGGCCACATGACCTCAGGCCCCACCTGCAACAGGTAGGGAAGTCCTTATTAGAGAGAAATATGGGATACTAAATGAACCCCAAGCTGACCACACTTTCCATGTGGGAGTAGATGACAAGGAAGGAGGAGCCCCTGAGATTTGAGGGTTCTCTTTGTGAAGGGGCTAAAACCACCAAAGGCCAATGGTGTAGCCAGTGTAAACATTTAGTAATACCACCAGAAAACACTGTCTGCCTTCTGTGCACTTTACATGTCCTTCATTGTTTATTCCCTTGATCTTGCGGGAGTGGGTAGGTGAATGGTCAGTCCTTCATGACAAGGTGCTAAAAGGACACAGTGAGGCAAATTTTTCCTGCTCTCAGGATCAAGGACCCCTAGACAGGAGCAGTGGGAGTGCCCCGGGGGCCACTGAATCCTCCTCACTCTCTTACAGATGTGCAAAAGTCAAGACCAAAGAACACATCTATGTTTTAAGACCTGGAACTGCCTCTGAGCTTAACCCATCCCCTGCTCTGTGCATTTTCCACACCATGCTTATGTTCTAGTTTCTATTTCACATTGCCTTGCACTGTGAGAGCTTCTTTTTTGAAGGAAAAGTACTTAGTGACATACAACTTTGCTGTTGACGGGCCACAGTGTCTCAAGGCAAATGGTGGCGTAAATTTAAATAGTGAGCCGGCTACGTTTGAACGGTAGACTCTAGGAGAAAATGAATCGGTAGTGAAACAGCACCTGTGAGATCTGGAGTATATCAGCAGCCATGACAGTGAGTCTGACAAACCGGGCTTTGTGGAAAGAAAACAAATGGAGCTTCCTTTAATTCAATCTAGATGCAGCGCACACAGCACTGGGATATAAAACTGAGTTGTCAATGTCAGTCAAGGGTCCCGGTGGAGGATTCCGGTGGTATTTGTTGAAGGAGAGACTGGGATGACTCTTCCCATACTTCCATCAGATTTCCGTATTTCTGCAATCCTCGGCTTTATTCTCACCCCTGGAAGGTTTGGGCTGAGGGCACATGCTGTTCTGTCACCATGATGCTTCTGGAAACATCAGTCAGAACATCTCAGAGCTACCTGCCCCACACGTCATGTGGGGACCTGGGTCACACACAACTTTTTTCTAGAGTACTGACTATGCTGGTGAAGTATAACCACAGTTACTCATGTTACAGCCACGGAGTCACAAGTGAAAGCCACACACGCAAACCCTTGGTCACTGCGTGTGGTTCTGACCTCCCCAAAGAGGCTCTGCTGAGGTGGCCTTCCATTGACTTCCCCGAATTCTCCAGAATGTTTACCTTTTTACTTTTCTTTCCTCACTCTCCTTGGAGACCCCTCTCCTCCAAACTGTTCACAGCCCCCTGTTTCCCTAAGCAATGCAACGTGGTAGTTAAAAACAGGGGCTCTGGAGTCAGGCGAAGCTTGCTTTATAAGTAGTTATGTGATTGTGGACAAGCCACTTGTCTCTGGCCTTCAGTCTCCTCATCCATAAAGTGGAGATAATAATACCTACCTCATAGAGGTGCACTAAGGATTAAATGGAAAAAGAAAGTTTAAGTATAGAACTTTAAATGCCTACTGCTAAGTGGCAGAAGTGAGTCTGAACTGTGTGATTCCAACTATATGACATTTGGGGGAAAGGTGAAACTACAGACACAATGAAAAGATCAGTGGCTGTCCGGGGGAGGGGAAGAAGGGGGGACGGATGAGTAGGTAAACATAGACATTTTTATTTTTAGGCAGTGAAACTATTCTGTGCAATAATGTAACGGTAGACCCGTGACATGACACATTTAACAAAACCCATGGAACCACACAGCGCAAAAAGTCAACCCTAGTGTAAACTATGGACTTTCATTAACAATAACACACCAATACTGGCTCATCAATTGTAACAAGTGTACCACACCAATGCAAGATATTAACAATAGGGAAGACTGTGGGGGAGGGTCGGGATGAGGGAGAATATGGGAACTCTGTACTTTCTGCACAATCTTTCCTTAAACCTAAAACTGCTCCAAAAATTAAGTCTATTAAGACAAAAAGCCCATTACAAAAGTCAGCACAGTGCCTGGCACATAGAAAGGGGGCAGCACCCACAGAGTGGGCGCCATTACCATCATTATGGTTAGTAGAACACTCGGCAAGGCAGAGCCTACCTTTGGGCACTTTACAATGCAGACCAATTCAAGGGTCTGACTTGGGAAGTCAGGAGTCCAGGTCATTAGTTACAAGAGCCGCAAGCCCACCTGGAGGAGTGAATTAAGCAGTGAAGGGGGAAGGGACAGGATTCTGCCAGAAGCATCTTGGTCTGAGTCAGGGAGATGACCGTGTTCACAATGACCTGTGGACAGGAGGCTGCCCTCTCTGCCCAGTGGGAGAGGAGAGGTCTTTATTGTCAGAGGAGCCTATAATTAAGAACAGACTTACCAGGGCCAAATGGTCATCAGCAAGCAAGTAACAGGCTGTTGAGAAGGAAAAGAGGCATTGACGTTCCCTTCCAGCCAGCCCCCTTCCCCTCGACCCAAGTTCTCACCTGAATGCCCCTAAAGACGCCATGAGTGTGTATTCTGTACTGGGCACCGCAGAGGATGGGCGTGGTGTGGTTATCACTCTCATACCCTGTGCCGTGGCTGCAAACACAAAGAGGGAAGAACAAGTCTCAGGTCGGTCCACAGGCACCCTTTAGAAATGCGCGTCTGCAGCAGAAGAATGTTTTTAAAAAGCTCACAGGACAACAGCCATTGGTTTTTGCGTCCTTCGCTGCTCTGGAAGCAGGGCTTTGTGAAGGGCAGGGGGCTCTTCAACCCTTGCATCACCACCACGCGGCCCTCCCTTGTGCTCAGGGAGGCCATCTGTGTCTATGCCTCTCAGACAAGCTGGGAAAAGTCACAATGGCTTTCATCCCCAGCAAGTTGTATACCATCTAGCCAGCAGAACAGACAGCTGCGAATGTCTCCGGAATGAGCAGATACCTCAAGTTTCACATTAAGTTCAATGGATTTTTGCTGGCACCTCGTGACTCAGTTTTTACCAGATAGCCCCAAGAAAGTGATGACACAGAAGAAATGTCACATTCTCAGAAGTGGGGATTACACATCAGTGACCCTTCTCCACTTAACGGACAGATAAGTTTTCCAGATCAACTTAACTCTTTGCAGCCAACCCGTGCCGTAAGCGGACACTGGATAATCTTCCCTAGCATTAGATTGCCTAGTCCTCTAGTTGGTGCTCAGGCTAATCCTGGCCTTCCAGCAAGGGCTGAGGGATGTGGAACATTGAAATGAACAGCTTGAGAGAAGCGAATACTCTGAAAGTATTTTCTCCTTTAGGTCAAAGCTGGTATCTGTTCTGCAGTTATTTTACTTCCAAATGAGGCAGAGTAAAGATTCTTATCTACATGGGCAGGACATTATAATCACATCTAGAATCACCACAAGGAGCTTCTATGAAATATCTCTGTGAAATGGTACAGTTGCTTTGGAAAACATCTGGCAGTTACTCAAAAGATTAGACATAAAGTTACAATCTGACCCAGAAATTCCACTTCTAGGTATATTCCCAGGAGACATGAAAACATGTATCTACACATAAACATGTACACATTGTGTATTAGCAGTATGATTCATAATAGCCAAAAGATGGAATCAACCCAAATGTCTCTCAGCTGATGAATGGATGAACGTAGTATATTCCAAAACTGGAATATTATTTGGCAATAAAAAGGTGGGAAGTAGGGGCGCCTGGGTGGCGCCGACTGGTTAAGCGTCCGACTTCAGCCAGGTCACGATCTCGCGGTCCGGGAGTTCGAGCCCCGCATCAGGCTCTGGGCTGATGGCTCAGAGCCTGGAGCCTGTTTCCGATTCTGTGTCTCCCTCTCTCTCTGCCCCTCCCCCGTTCATGCTCTGTCTCTCTCTGTCCCAAAAATAAATAAACGTTGAAAAAAAAAATTAAAAAAAAAAAAAAAAAGGTGGGAAGTACTGATACGTGATAATGTGGACAAGCCCTGAAAACACGCTAAGTGAAAGGAGCCAGCCACAAAGGGCACACCTATTGTGTGCATCCATTTAAATTTTTTTTAATGTTTTTGATTTATTTTTGAGACAGAGACAGAGCATGAGCAGAGGAGGGGCAGAGAGAGAGGGAGACACAGAATCCAAAGCAGGCTCCAGGCTCTGAGCTGTCAGCACAGAGCCCGACACAGGGCTCAAACCCACAAACCAAGAGATCATGACCTGGGCCAAAGTTGGACGCTCAACCGACTGAGCCACCCAGGCGCCCCAGTGTGTGCATCCATTTAAACAAAATGTCCAGAATAGGCAAATTTATAGAGACAGAAAGTGGTTTGGTGATTGGCTGCCTAGGACTGGGGAAGCGGAAGGAAATGGGAGAGTGATTGCTGAAAATGTCCTAGAACTGTGGGAGCGGTTGTACAACTCTGTGAATATACTAAAAACCACTGATGTCTCTACTCCAAACGAGTGGACTGTATGGTATGTGGAATTTATAAAACTGCTTTACAAAATTAGCTTGGGGAATAATGAGGTCCATGTACAGTCTTTTTCCCCCCAAGCCGCCAGGTGTAATTAACTCGCTGTCAGGGCTGAGAGCCTCCACCCTCTGCCTGTGTTACTCTAGAGATGCCAGGGGTCCCAGTGTGGGAGGCAGGCAGCTTGGCTGATCAGCCCACTCCATCTGAGGGTGTGGGGAAAACCTGGGGCTGGCTCAACTCCCACTTCCATGGGGGAGAGAACTCCTGGAGAGAAAGGGTGTTTGCCAGGATGACTGACATGGTCCGCACATCCCGCAGCCACAGCAGCTGTGGAATTTCATGTTTCATTCTGGCTCCAAGCTTTTTAGAAAGAATTGCCTGTCTCCCTTGCATAGATAGTGAGAGCAGTTTCAGGAACTGGGTGGCAGTTTACAGTTATACTATAAAGGCAGTGGGGATGTAAGAACTGATGACAGTGGTGATGTGGTAGCAGAAAGAGGACAGGACAAGAACGATGTGGCCAGAACATTTTGCCTTGAAGGCCATGAAGACATGCTGCCTCTGTGTGGCTTCATCATCTGTATGGAGCCAAAATGTGACTTACACATTTTCTGGGGCTGAGGGCTCTCTAGGGACACAATACAAATCTGAATTATTTTTAAGTTCTATCAAAGAGGAAGAATTAGGAATCTGTTTTCTTAGCAGCTGATCTCTGGATGTTACTTGGGTTCCTGGAGGGTGTGAGAAATAGATTTTCCTCAAAATACTTGTTCCAGGAAATGAAGTGCTATACTACTCAAAGGTAACCTCATAGCCAGATATAAGCCAACACACCGAAGAAGCAACCAGAGAGGTGCCTGGGTGGCTCAGTCGGTAAAGTACCCAACTGTTATTTTCAGTTCAGGTCATGATCTCACGTTTGTGGATTCGAGCCCCGCCCCGCATTGGGCTCCAGGCTGACAGCACAGAGCCCCTCTTGGGATTCTCTATCTCTGCCCCTCCCCCACTTGCACACTCCCTCTCTCTCTCTCTCAAAAATAAATAAATAAACTTAAGGGGGGAAAAAAAAAAAAGAAGAAGCAACCAGAAACAAGACTCTACCTGCCTAATAAACCCCTAGGTTCTTCTATCAAGTCCATGAATAAAAACTACAGCTGGGTCCTGCCTACTGGCTTTGGTGTTTGCAAAAGACAAACAACACATCAATGTAATTCCACACTGTGGAAACCCTACAAAGCTCTTCCCAGTGTGGTCTGCCCAGAACACTAAGTATAACGCACAGGTATGTACTATGGTGACAACTCTCTCTAGATAAGTAAAGGAAATCAGGTCAGTGGTCTTGGGACTGTATACTAACAGAGGGAGAAAAGGTATCTACTCCAACCCTCATTTCAAAGCCCTTCTAGCTCATCAACAGTTGCACAACACGACTGGTGGCGAATTTTTAAAGAATCCCATTCCATTTGGGGAGTGCTTTAATTGTGAAGAAAGGCCTTTCTGAGCCAAGCAGAAATCTGCCGCCTCCTTTCTGTCTTCTGGAGAACCACAGAGTCTTAGTGTTTTACAGCCAACCCTGTGTGTCTCCTCTGCTCTATGGTAAACTTGGCCTTGAAAACAGACCAGCTTGCCCCTCTCTGTATCCTCTCAGCTGGGTGACTGAAGTTAAGGCACAGAGTCCATAATGTCCCATGAGATGGATGGAATCTAACTCCTCTTCCACATGACAGTCCTTCAAATATTTGAAGACAGCTTTCCAGGGTACAGAGCTGGGGTTCTCTCAATGATCATAACAAACTGGTATCCAATTCCTTTAGTGTCTGTATCATCCACCTCTTGATTCCCTTCCTTTTGTAACGTCTCTCTCAAAGCATGGGCTTAAAATGGATCCCAGTGCCCCCAGAAGAGTGGGGAAGGAGGACCATCCATAAACACAAAAAGTTTAAGAATTATGAAAATAACATAAATGCGTAAGGCCAGAGAGTACATGCCTCAGCCAAAGAGATTCCATTGCAAATTTCTGAAAATCAGTATGCTAGTCAAACACAACACAATCAATGCGTTAGGCCCATAGGCTATCCGGACTCAATGAACGCATCTAAGGGGACATCGCTTCTAGCATTCAGGTCACAGTGGTCTTCCCCCCTCAAACAGAATCCTCATCGTCCACAACAGCAAGAACTGGAAGTAAGGCACATGTCTCCCACCTTGAGCTTGAAGACATGATTTTTTTAAATTCAGTTCAAAACTACACAGTTATCCTTCAAATTCCATTTTATTTCTTTTAGGAAGTATTTCCAACTGTTGAAATCTTTTTGACTCAATTTGGCTTCCAAAACATTGGCTTTCCATCCCATTTCATATTTCCTCTACCTTTGAAAAATCACCTTTTCTGTGTTTCCACTTAAAAAAAAAAAAAGGATTGGGGTTCCTTGGTGGCTCAGTCAGTTAAGCATCTGACTTCGGCTCAGGTCATGATCTCACAGCTTGTGAGTTCAAGCCCCACGTCAAGCTCTGAGCTGACAGCTCAGAGCCTGGAGTCTGCTTTGGATTCTTTGTCTCCCTCTCTCTGCCCCTTCCCAGCTCACACTCTGTGTTTCTCTCTCTCTCTCAAAAATAAATAAACATTAAATTATTTTTTAATTAAAAAAAAAAGGATCTTCCTTATTGTTGTGGGGAACTATTATATTTACAATATATATACTATACTTGTTCTCTGGTATTCAGGAAATGGTCAGATTGTAAAAGGTCTGTCCATGCAGCAACCTGAGGGAAGCCATCACAGAGAATCTAGTCATTTGGATGGGCAAATGTCATCAGTGGGAGTTAATCTGAGGCAGAAATGGAACAGTCACCACCATTAAGACCCAGCCGGTAGCTTAGATGGTCAGGTAATGCCAAGCTTTTCCCTGAGAGAATTAGCCTTAAAAAGTTCCAGTGACTAAGCCATAAATGAACTAAATAGGAGTGAGGGTAGGGTTCTTAGAGGTCTGGAGCCATAAAGTCTTCCAAGAAGAGCAAGGAGCTATCTGCCTAGTGAAGAGATTTCTGGAGCCAAAGATGCACCTTCCAAATAAAGCATTCACAAAGCCCTGGATAGTATGGGGTAAACATTTATCGGGACTTGGAGACAAGAATGTTATC